ACAAACACCTCGTGGCACTGTTTTTTTGTAAACAAAATAGCCAATTTTCGTTATATCTACTGAGGAGCTACAAATTAGCACAGAATTGCTCGAACATTAATTCTATTCAAATGTGCATTAATTACTACAGATTTTCATATAATATTTTATACTTGTTCCTGGAACATCTTGTATCTGACACAATTTTACTTAGAAAGTTACGTATTATAGCGGGGTTTTAAAGTCAGTACCGTGTGTGGCACTTGTATGTAACGCAGCTGAAGGAGAAAAAACCACGATTACTTTTTTTCAAAACCTTCGTAGTAAAAACCAATAATTGAACTTGTAACTAGTAAAATATTAACAATTTCGAAAACCTGATTACGAGCGGTCCCAGACCGGATGTGGCCACACTGCAGTTCACCATCTGCAAAACTCACTCTCGTAGCGCAAAGTTGTTCCTAAGCAGAAGCGTAACTCATCCCTAGGCGGCACATGGGAGGGAAAATACCAATTTAACAACATTTTAAGGAGTAATAAATGACACGAGTGACAAAATATCGATGTCAGCTACTAGGACGGCGTACTCGACTATGAATGAAAGCACTTGCAAGATACAACACAGCTACGAAGATCATCACATCCTGTCGAGGTCACAAATATAAAACTTTATAGTTGTTGAGTCAGTCATGGCTGGAAACAAAGGAAAGCGATTACACGGCAGCGAATATAAACATCACAGAACAGCTGATTCAATCATTTCATGGTAATTACTCCCACTACCTAGTTCAAGGGTCTGACAGCTCCCTCTCCCCTGCTCATTTCAAGCTTATAAATAGACCCCATCTTCTCAAAACCAAAGAGTTTGGCGCAACAGTGACACAGTTCCATTTGACACTCCTGCCGTAAAAGAACACGAAATCGCGCTTCAGTTTCGAGTGCGCGCGTCTTCTGGGTTGTTACGCCGTGGACTCTGGTAGAAGTTTACCGGACGCAGCAAGGACCTCTGAAACGTCGGTAAACTTCTATCAGACTATATGGCGTAACATCCATCTTCAGGCTCACAGCACGAACACGGTAATGCTAGTATACCGCTGAGTGCCATATACTCAGTTTCGTCACAATGTTAAACGACTAAAGAAATAAGCAGAAAACTTCATTTAGGCAAAGTAAACTTTCACTTCAAACGAACCAAGGCCAACAAACCAAACCGGACCCACAGAAGTTAGCGAGAATCTATTAAACAGTTTCAACGAAACTGGTCGGGGATTTTGGGCAATGTTTCTGAAAGACATGCTGACATAAGAACCAACCGGAAGCTATTAGAATTATTTTTGAAAGTAGTCTATAAAAGGTGTCAGGGTACGTTCAGAGCAACTTGAAAAACACGGGTTACTTAAAAAACAATATTTCAAGGATCAGCTTGGCAATCCAGAGAAAATAACAACGTCCGGTTAGCAAATAAACTCTTGCGTAGTACTGAGCACGTTAAATAAATAACAGTTACGTCTGTCCATCCTCTTACGAACACCTCGCATACAACAATTCGCTTGTAACACGGCTAACGAAGTGTTAAGTCCGAAATAACCTCGATATAATTGCTGCTTCAGTTCATATATTCATACTAACCGTAATTTAACAAAACCAACATTTCAACCTGATGTTTATTTACGAATAAACATTTTGGTCGAGTGATAAGACAACTTATTATTACGGAAATCCCGGATTGAAAACGGATAACGTCAGACGGTCCGTAATTTTTCTGTTTCTTTAATCGAAAGTACCTAACAGTACTCACAGCCAATTTCTTCCTTATCCCTCTCGAGCAAGGGTATTTATTACGAATCAGTCTCTCAAAGGGCCTATGTGAACTTAACACAGAAAAGTTGTTGAAAGCACTGTAGTCTGCGTGAGAACGCAAGAAGCCAAAAGCACGGTAACAACACGGCACTCCACAACGCTTAGAACGCGCTCCTAATATTCGTATTTACACGACAAGGCAGACACACCTGCATACAGTAACGTTCTTTTGTGAAGTCAAGGACACGCACAGCTGAAATGTGTCTGAAACGAGTTCAGTGGCCGGCTTTGTGCTGAGTTACGAACGCTGAGCCAGTTCTCAGCTGAGGGAATTAGAATCTTGGTCCAAAACAGCTTCCACTTACCGGCACAATTCAAAATAATTTGACATCTCATTGCATGTTATTTCATATATTCAATGAATGATGAATCGCCCTGATGACGGAGGCAGTATGACCTCTGAAAC